ATTTAAAAAATATTCATTAGAATATAAAATACTTAATCACCTTGTTCAATATATGCCTTTATAATAAATCTAAGGTTATTATTTAATGCCAAATCAAATAAATCTATCAAATATTAAATTTAAAAGATATATAAATTTGCTTTTCACATCTAAATGTCCAGCCAAAAGTCATAAAATAAATAAAAATTACAAATTCTTCCTTGAAAATAAAATAGTGAGAAAACCAATAATAACTATCATTTTCTATTTGTATATTTTATTGATAGTATGCCCTTTCAAAAACGAATTGAATATTTAAAATTATCTTCAATAATTCAAATCAATGGTAACAAATACTAAATGTAAATTATTCGTTTTGTTCGAATAAAAATAAAGAATATTCGATTCGAAATAATAATTTGATCTAATATTCGAATTTTTTTCAGAATAATTATTAATATTGTTTTTAGATATAATTTAATCATTTATAATGTTGACCTATCAATTTGACAGGTGATATCTCCATTTAACTTTTTCGAACGAAACAATAAGAAGGGCTCTTTGCCTTAAAAATTTATTGGCATCTACAATATCATCACATGATTATAATAATTTTTTCGTCACTAGAGGGGGGGGGGTTGTGCAGGGGTTCGAGGTTCCTAAAAAATTTGAAAAACTCCTCTCAAAATTTTGAATTTTTTTTTATCCCACTAAAAATATCTTATCTATTTTGAATCCACAGAATTGTCACATAAAATATGAATATAGAATTATTATAAAAATTAAATTTCATTTGTCATTAGAATATTGTAAGAATTAATGTTCATGTCAAATTTGATTTCAATTTTCCTAAAAAAAGTATAGTATAAAATATTTGACTTAGTGTCAAAAGTGGTTTCCATTGTATAATATTATCATTTTAATCACACATTTTATAACCTCTACTCACCAATTTTAGGAAATAAAACAAATTCATCTTTGTTCATATCTCGTTTCTCAGAAAAATCGTCATTTATAAATACAGTACTATCACTTATTCTTCCAAAAATTTGCACCGGATGAACAGCCATTTTTCATCAGAAAAAAATTGTTTTTTAAAAATGGTAATTTTTAATAATGCTAGCTTAAAAAAATAAGATAATTTTGAAAATAATTGACAATATATTTTATAAGATTTTTTAAAAGCGAATTATAATTTAAATTTTATTATTCATATGAATATGAATGGTAAATTTCTTTCGAATAGATTACAATAATATATATTTGACCATAGTGCTTATATATATAATGCACGGATCTAAAAAGGATGGCTAAAATGGCGAAATATATCCGGTGTAATGTGCGACAAGAAGATGCCAATATAGTTGAAAAGCAAAGTTTACAAATCCATCGTAAGACCGGTGTTACTCTATGGAAGTGAAACATGGACATTAAACGCTACGAAAGAAAAGTTATTACAAGCCACGGAGATGAGAATGATACGGTGAAGCTTGGGGTATACTAAACTCAACCTGACGAATGACTGTCTCAGTGCAAGAATGGGTATTCAACCTCTGGCGGACTTGATAAAAGAAAATCGGTTAAGGTGGTATGGTCATATACTAAGATGGGAGACGAATAATGTAAATCGAAAAGTATTGGACATGGAGGTGCCGGAAAAGAGAGGAAGAGGACGACCTCGTGTTACGTGGATAGGTCAAGTAGACAAAGTTATGATGACTAAGAAGATAAATCCGGACATGGCCCTTACTCGATCAAGATGGAAGAAACTTATCAAAACAAACCCCACGACTGTGGGACCATATGCATGATAAAGAAGAAGTGCTTATATATATAAATTATTTTACACACTTGCATATAATCATAATTGCAACTGAAATTCATTCTTTAAAATACTATATCATCATAGTATTCTGAAGTGGGACAAGTTTATCTCCGCCCCGATTTCTACTGCTCTAGTAGTAAATCTTAGACCTCGAAAGGATCTCAGATTCATAACAGTATCCTCTAATAATTTGCCAAAAATTCTAGTTCTTTTCCCCAAAAATTTTCGGGTTCCAGTGTAGAAGGAATATTTGCGGATTTCAAGATTCTATTGATGATCGAATTGATGACATAGTGCCTGGATAATTTGCCTTTTGAAAAACGACAGTATGGGGGGGGGAAGGTGTCTGAGGCTATCGATATGAGTTTCACAGTCAGCGTTACGATTTCACAAAATAGCTATTCTAAGTTCTTAGTTGGTTGATAAACAAGCATAGATTAGAACTAGGCATAGTTTTTAACCATTCGTAGCAAAGGTGGAGTATGTCAGGCTGGAATCATTTGATCCAGCAAAAGAGTCGTATTGTTTTCATTCTGTATACTCAGGGTTGGGTTTTAGGGGAGAAAAAGCGATGGAGATTTTCTACAGCTTTGAAGTGTAAGTATTCAACGCAATGCTGTATCAATGGTAAATTCCAGTCTCTTTGTCTTAAATTTTGATATGAGCGGCGTAGAGAATCTTTGCTCCAGCCAGAGGTTTAATGCTGCCATATGATTTGGATTCGATAGTATCCAAGTCTCCAAGTGTGTATGGAAATGCAGCTGAGGATAAAAAGGCTGAAATGCTTAAAGGAGGAATGGATACCTTATACACCTAACTAGGGCAGCTTGCATATTGAAGAGCGAAGAGAATTTGATATTTAAAATAGATTCGAGAGTATTTTTATAATGAACCTCAAGGTCTAACAATATTTCAAGGGACATGAAAATTGTCGATGAACGTAAGGCATGAAAATTTAAGGAATGAATACAAATAAAAAGCCTGATGAGCAGGTAAATGTTTTAAAATATTTTTCATTCTATTGAATTTGATAAGAAATTCATTTCTGAAATCAAATATAGCCCTTTCACCTCCAATGGGTGAGGTGGGTAAAGCTGATTTTTTTCATTAAATATAATTTTCAGGTGGGCAGTCCGATTCATAGGGTGTGATAAATTAATTTTTTTATTAATTTAAAATTTTGTTTAAATGTTTGATTGTGTTCACAAAGGATATGCAACAATAATATAATTTCTCGTCCAAATATATTTTCTTTTCATAAATTGTTACATTGCTGAGTTTCATAATTTTGTAACCAAATTTAATTAATAAACCTATTTTTTGATATTATATTTCTTTATCTATTTAGCACAATATATTCCATATTTTTTGCCCTCAAGTTGCTTATAATATTTATGGAATTACATATAAATGTATTTTTTAAAATAATTTTTTACTAAATTAGATCATAGAACTTAGTGTAAGGAATGACAAAGATTTAGATTATTTTAGATTTAAATAATTTTTGAAAAAACTATAGTAATCATTATTTACTAATAAGATTAATTTTCAGGCCCAGCCCGGATTTTTAAAAATTATATTATATTTATTTTTGATTTTTATAGTTAATAATGGCGATTTCAAATATTTTGTTTTAAAAAATACGGCCTAGCCAGGATATTTTTTTTAAAAATAATTTCATGCCCGTCCTGAGTCTATTTAAAAAAAAATTAAAATACGTCCCTGCTTGTGTACCAAGCCGGACTTAGGGCCGGGCATGCATGTCTCAATAAATATATTCTATTTTCCGATATTTCTTTTTGGTTTAAATTATTTTTTTATATAAATAAATTGCATAATTTTTCAAATAATTGATTATAATTATTATATCCTAATTTTTTTATATTAAATAAATGCGTACAGTATATAAATATTGCGTTTATGAATATTCTATAAAGTAACTTAGTATGTACCTAGTTACTTTTGTAACTGCAACTAATAACTAGTTTCATTAACTGTAATCAGTTATATTTTTACTAATGTAACTAGTAACTGTAACTAATTATATTTCAAAGTAACTTTCAACAACACTAAAGTAGTGGTTATATCATCTCTTTAATAAGATTATATGAAATTAATATGTATAGAGAGATTTTATTATTTTATACAAATAAATAATATCACACCACTTACATTAATATATTAATCAATGTTGATGGTGTATATCTTCAGATAAGCTTGATGCATGAAATTTCAAAATCAAATTTTTTATTATTGGAAAACCATTAATGTAGTTCATAAAGGTTTGGTGATTAATTATAGGAATTAATATAAATCTCATTTTAAAAATACCAAATATAATTTTGTTTTTTATTTATACAATTTAAGATACAAATATTTACAATGTATGAATACTTTAGAGTCGTCAGCCTAGTTAATATTAATGTCAAAAATTGAGACATAGTTTAAAGAGGGATATTTTTCTGAATTTATACATATTATTTACAAATATTTGCATTAAATGATTATCTTACATCTAACTCTCTCTCTCTTAAAATAATAAAGTATATAGTGTTAAGTATTCCTATCTAGGGTATGACTGTTTAGTAAATTTATTGGCCGGAAGAGTCTTATTCTGCTAAAATTCTACTGATCTTTGTATAAAAATTTTCTATTTTTCATCAATTTTTCAACCCAGTTAAATGAATTATAACTTATTATTCTTCGATTATTTTTTCTCTATTAAATATCCTCTTATCATTTCTTACATTTTTTTTCTATTATAAATATATGACCTTTTTATCAATTTTATTATCTAACATTTAATTTTTAGCCAAATAAATAACCTTGTTATTACATTTTAAATATTTACTTAATTTGATTTCGATATAAAACTTACCACTATTTCAAATAACTAATTTTTCTGCAACTATTTCTAAAAACTACTTTCAAAAATATGAAAAAAAATTTTAATCATAAATGCACGTGAAAAAATTTAAAAAAATTACATTTTTGCCTTAATATTTATTTATTTAATTAGATATAAAAGCTATTAAAAAATTAATTCACTATAAAAGATTTTTTTTGACCTTGCATTTAAGGTCTTTACCAACTATCACCAATTTAATATAATATATTAATAGGCAATCTTACTGAAAATAAATAATAAATAAAAAGACAAATAACTTAAAACTTTTTTTAACTTTAGGCAAACTTACTTTAAAGAAAAATTTTTTTGATGATTTTATTTAAAAAAAATTTCTAAAAATATGAATAATATATTTTCATTTCTAATAGCTCTTGTGTTAACTTTAGAGTGTATAAAAAGTAATAGCCAATACATATTAACCCCTTTTTTTTGAAAATTCTTTTATTTTATAAGTTGTGGAATCTCATACAAGTATATAATATTTATAATATATAATTTCAGTTACTAAAATTTTTAAGCTAATATTTAGTTTAGCAAAACTACTTTTATTAAAAAGCTAAACTATTAATTATTTAACTATCACTAATTTACTGATTCTATAACTACTTTATAAAATTTTAAAAATAATGAGACATTATTTATTTATTTTTTTTATTTAATATAAAAGTATTTTATGCTATATGTCATAAAATCCTATATTGGTATTTGCCACGGATAAATATTTTATTTTTTCAATCCTTTTTATTGTTTAACTTTTCGTCTATTGAAAATATAATTTATAATTTAATGTTGTAAATGTATTATAACAGTAATATATGGCGCTAACGCTTTCAGATTGCATTTTTAGTTAGATTATAATAGAAAATCAGGTTAAATTTTTTTTTATAAATTTGCACTTTATAATTCAATTTTTTTTTAAAATTTAATTTACCTAAAAAATATTTACACAAATATATATTTAATAGGCTTAATATTTCTAAAGTTTATCTTACAAATTTAAAATATATGGTTTATTATCATTTTAATTTTCTGTGACTATTATATGATTATTTATCCAAGTCAAGATAAAACTGCATATTTTGATTTGCTAATACAAAGTTATATTTACTACCTCTTTTGAATTTTTTTTTGTTAAGAAATAATTGATAGTCACTTCGATAAACCTAAAAATTTAGGAAGTCGACGTACCAATTTTTATTTTGCCAAATAAGGTATTTGTTCGCCTTCATACCATGAGCAGATAATATGATTAAGAAGTCCAAAATTTGAAATAAATTAAGGAGACTCTAATTTGTATTTTAGGCAAATTTAATAAGGTAAACTTTTCTTGCTTTAAATTATATTTCGATAAAAAGTTTCATCCCACACTCACGCCCCCCACCCCCTTTTCATTAATTCTTCCTTAAAATGTCTTTAATATAACACTAAATAAAATGAAACTTATATAGCTTTTTAAAAAGACCAAAATTTTCAGTTTTTTTAATTTAAAAGAATACAATTTTTTTTTTACATTTCTAATTAAGGTTTTATATTTTTTTTATAATAATTTATTTATTTAATTTTTATTGACGATTCCTTTGTGATTTATATCTTTTTATATTCGCTCATTTTTAAATTTTCATATTCTTTGTTAATTTTGATTTGATTTACAATCCTCTAAATGTTTTTTTTTTATTAATTTTAAATAATTTCTTTTCATCTTATACAATTCTCTCAAAAATTAGGGCATAAATTTTTTTTAATGCTATCTATATTTATCATTATATATTAAGCTTATTATTGTATAATGGCATGCACTATATTTTTATAATTTGCGTTCCTAATATTTTTGTATAAAAATTGATAAAGAAAGTATTATATTACTGAAAAGAAACATTTAAACAAAAAAGAAAAAAGGTAGAAATCCAAAATATTTTTTTTTGGGAGATTTAAAATAGGCCTTTAGCCCTCCTATTTAAGCTTTACTATAGTTTAAATTTATATCTTATGAGTAATCTAAATTATGTTCAAAATTTTGAATTGATTTATATGAATAATTTGTGAGCTATCAATAAGTTATTCGTCCTAATGTCTTGATGTGCTAATAAAATATAAATTAGCTAAATAATTTTCCCAAGCAGCCTTTACTACTCCCATACTCATGCTGCTTCGTGAATTTTTATTGGTCTGATTTTACTATTTCGAATTCCAGATCATTTACAATCGTAAAAAAACTCAATTAAAATCTTATTTGACTGGTTTTAAATAACATACATTTTATCCTAACGACATTTTTTAAATTATTTTTATTTTATAACTATAAAATCAGATTAACTTAGGAAATATGCATATTGGCTGATTGCGAGAATGGACTAATAAGTGTATAGTTTACGAATTTTAATTATGTTATAGAATTTAAGAAATATCAAATATAAAAAACCGTGTAAAAAAAATGAAAAGGGATTTAAAAATAATTTGCTTAATTAAAAATATGGTGTATATTGCCCATCCCTAAAATCACGTTTTTTGAAATCGTTTTAAATATCACTGGGTTGCAGGATTATTCTACATTATCCTAGGAAATACATGAATCAAACTTGGTGCGTTCCAATTTTTATCCTAAATTTTTTAATTTTTTTTTGGTGTTAATAAATGAGCGTTTAATAACAAATAGTGTTAAAATTACCCTTAAATATTTTATATTATAATTTTTCGGAATAAGTCTTAACATAATAGAAATCAACCCATCTAACCCTTTTTGAGGGTCTCGATTTATTATTTTTAATTTTCGAAAATAATTACGCGATTTAAATTACATATAACTTGGAGGAATTAAGTTTCATATATTCCTTAATTAAATAAGAAATTTCATTGCAAAAAAAAATAAATAACCCGTTTTCAGAGTTATAAAGATTTCAAAGAGTGACATTTTTTAAGCTACCCGATATACATTGTACACTTATACTAATCACTCCCAATGTTAAAATTGTGAGTTCGAGAAAAATAAAAGGAACATGTGGTACTGGTAACCCAAATAAACCATTTATATTTAATTATCTTAAAATATAATTTTAAATCTTGTTTAGTGCATACAGTCCTCTGTCGGCCCTATGCCACATTAAGTAAACCTACGATAGATTTAAATAACTTGAACTAATAAAAAAATTTAATATAATATTTTAGATGTCTTATGTGAAAAAAGTATTTATTAAGAATAAAAACAAGACAGTAACTTTTAACATTTATAATTTGATATTGATTTATAGAAAATGACTTTGTCTTAACTACGATAGGTTTGACTAATTATTTGGTTACCCAGTATGCGAATCTTATGTATCATTATAAATTTATTATAAAAATATCTCATTATTTTATTATTTAATTATTTATAAATTAATATTATAATATTATAACAGAAAATGTTAAAAGTGTTATAAATGGTATTAAATCTTACTATATTATTCTATGTAATAATTGGAACTCATAAAACAATGTTATATTTTATATAGAAAACTTAATATATGATATGGATTATTACATCGAAAGTAATTTCCCAAAATATTTAATAAATTATATATATATATATATTTTAAAGATCAAAATTTGTGGTTTGGAATAAGTAAAACATTAAGAAAATAAATATATTTTTATTTATATTTAATAATCACAAATAAATATAACACTAGTGTCGGGAGATAATAATCTTACTTTAAACATAGGTATGAAAGTTTATCAAAAATTAATTGTTTAGTACATTTTAATACAGAACAAGAAGGGACACCCAATGGTAATACACAGTATATTTGTTCATAACTGAAAAAGTAAATATTATCCTCTATAGCCACTTTGACTAGGATGAATTCTTTAGCCTAAATATTTTTAAAATGATTGGGTAATAAAAGGATTCTCCCTATCGCGCCCGGAATATTTCCCATGAACAAAAAATACTTGTACTTTGATATAATAAAATAATGATTTTGACATTTTCATATAATAAAATAATGATTTTGACAGGTTAATGATAAAATACGAAATAATAAATATTGTTTTATAAATTAATATCTCTAAGTACCAACCATTAGTTTCATTTTAATATAAATAAATGATTAAAAATTTTGATGACAAATGATCTCGCTGGGCGTGAAAGGGTTAATGAACTCTGAGGCCTTCTTTTTATTCGACAAAAATTACACGAAATTTATAAATACACAGTTAATTCCTTTACTGAAAGACATTTATCTTACCTACTCTCAATCTAATACATTATGTAAACCTAACATTTAATATATTAATAATTTACAAAATTGTTATTTCTTTTCATTAATAATTATGTTATATTATATTTTGATGGTAATATTTTTCACTCAATTTCCTCTGGATTTATAAAACATATAATCTCATTATAAAAATTACCATAACAATATTAGAGCCAATTGTTTCGAACTTGGTCAAAAAAAAATTTTTTTATAACTCTCTATATCTACCATTAGTAAGTGATTCAAAAGTGATTAAACAAGTTCCGGGTTTCTAGCTTAACTAAAAAAATAGCTATTTAAGTAAACCTCACAACCCAGAGGGATATATGAGTAGGAGTATAATGTCAAATATTTCGTTAGTATTTAATAATCAACAATCTAATAATATAATTTTAGTCGATTTTCTGCCTATTGAACATACGATATCCTATTATTTTATAGATTCTGATCCAATTCTTAATAATAGTTCTAGAGTTGAAACTAATTTGAATTGTTAGTTATATTAAAACTTTGCGATGACAAGAATCCTATGTTATTATAGATTTAATCTAAGAGCGTATTTCTGCTGTAATACTTAATATCTTAATAGACAAAAGGGGAAAAATTATCTGAAATACTGCATATCTATGAAAATTTCATTAAAATAAATAGCTAAGATATAAATTTCAAAAAAGACTGGAATTGTGAATAGTATTATTCTTGTTTTAAAATTAAAGATTGGATATAAATTCACTTATTATCCTTGTTTAAATTTGTAGTCCCATATGGCTTTTTTTTTATTTGTTACATTTTATTCTTCTCCTTATTTAAATGATTTTTATAATTTAAAAAAAGCATCCTAAGATAAATTTTTTTTTTTGATTCAGATTGAAACTTTTTTATAGCCTTGGGAAACTACATTTATTTTGAAGATTTATATATTAGTTTACGTAAACACTGTCAACTAAATTTGGCAATAAGAACCAAAAAAAATCATTAGTCAAATATATCTAAGTATAACTTAATAGATAAATTAATTAACACAAACTGTATAAACCATTGCTCTAATCACTTAATATTGTAGATTAGTTAATTTATATTTTTATTAAAGTTTTTTATATAATTTACCCTTATTTATATACTTATATAAAGCTACTATAAGACGCATAACTAGGAATAGAAACCCCTTTGGTATAAGTAGAATAATAAAATTACATCATATTCATCATCGATTTAAAAAAAAAAATATTAAAATAAAGTTACGAGAAAGATAACTATAGGTATATATATATATATATTTCTTATAAAAATGGCAAATAATTAATAATACATTTTATTTTTAAAGAGTTCTTTATCTCAAATTTTATTAATTTTGTTCCATGAATAGAATTTAAAATAAATATGAGTATATAAAACTATCGTAGCTAAAATTCGTTAATTAATACTCTAGATGGTGTAAATGGAACTCTAATAATATCCATAGGTAATCATCAATCATCACATGTTTTATGATCAATTTTTACAATTATTTTTGATATTATATTAAAATACTTTATATAGGCATCACTCCTTCCTATACCCACATTTGACAAACTTTTTTTGCATTTTAAATAATATTTAGTTCAAATTTATATATTTAAGGTTCTGGTTCGTAATAGGCCAATTATTTATTTTCTTCTGGTATTATCTCCGAACCAAATTCGCATCTTCAATCTCCCTTTTAGAAGAAAAAATATAATTCAACACTAAAAAAAAAGTTGGGAAACTTAGATTTGAATCATTGCAAAAATTTTAAAAATTTAAGGGTTATATTCCTAGACCCGCGGTTTTAGCAGATTTCAATTAATTCTTGTTACGCGTTTTTTTTCTACAGATCTGAGTTTGTCGGAGTATTCCAATATGTCTACCTTGTGATATTGCAAAGTTGCTTATAAAAATATTGGTATCACAGAGTTTAATTTTATAATATGGTTGGCTGGAAAAAATCACAAACAAGTTTTTACTTTAAACTAAAATTTAAAAAAAAAAAAAATGGCTCACATTTTTAAAAATAATCAACTTTTTATTGATTAATAATTTTATATGTAGCTAGTATTTATTAGATAAATTTTTAAAATATAACTAGCTACAGGCTAAAGTTCCTTTCCAACAGCGTCTACATGACAGGATTTTCACTGAATGCAAACACCCTTCAAAAGCCTATGCCTACCCCCCTAAAAAAAAATTGCCACATTCGGCGGCCATGTTTTTCTATTTTAAATTTCATCTTTTTAATTATAATGATACTCTTTCAGAAAATTTAAAAGAATAACTTAAATTATATCGACATTTCGTGGAATATAAAGGAGTTATTTTTTAGATAATATATTCAATCAATTCATTATTATAGCAATATGAGTTTGCTGAAAATGTCGAAACCTTTTAAATTACATTTGAAAGGAAGCAGAAAGTTTTATTTGGAAAATAAGGTCAATGATTGTTTGCAATATATGGATTTGGTTGATGAATTATATTAAAATAGGTACATAAATTTTGTCCTATTTGATCTCAAGATTTAATAGATAACAACCCCGAAAAATTTATCGTACCCCTATTAAAGTTACCTACCCCTCTCAAAAAAATAGGATGCGAACTGTTCCTACCCCCCCCCCCCCACCCCACCTTACCTTTTCCGTTCATAGACGCTGCTTTCCAAAATGCATCAAGTTATAGTTAAAGTTCTTCATAAAAGATATAAATGATACATATAATTATAAAATAGATTATTATATATCAACTAATAATGAGTTAAATATAACTATGATTAATAATAAATTAAATATATTTTATTAAATTATTATATAATATAGTTGTAATTACATTTGAAATAAAAGTTATACCTATAATATAAAAATGTTACTTGAAATATATTATTCTACAATTTAAGTACTCGTCAGTGTTTTTTCATGGAATTCTGCAAGATAAGCAGAAGAAAAATGATCAGATGGATACAAGGTAAATCTAAGAAGGAACTCATGAGGAATGAAATGATTAATTTACCGTTGATTATGTTCCAATTTAATCTAATATGCAGTAAAGTAGTTACTTTACGTTAGCATATTGAAAGAAGCAAAGTGGGAGTTAAAAGTGAAATTAGTTACTTAAATATGAAGATTGAAAGTGTGATTGTTGAAAACTTATGAAGCTGAATATCGTAAGATATTTTGAATGGCAAAAAGAGAGAGCTGGAAGAGTGCCGAAAAAAAATATAACTAATTATTATATATTAAAAATGAGTCTTATTGCATTTAAAAAAAAATTTATTCTATGTTTAGCAAATTGCTATATGTTAATTTGGCAGCGTATAACATAGGCCATTATTCTAATCTTTGGTATATAATATAAAAAAATTACTTATGTTGGAATTGTATTATTTCCACGTTTTTTCATAGATAATTATTACACATTTTTCATTGATTATCATTTTATTTTAAATCATAATTTAAATTTTATATGATAAATTACATTTTTATTTTTCCAAGATCAATTACATTTTTTTTCTCTTTACATATCTTTTTTCTTAAACAATAATAAAAAAAATAACTAATACAAATTGATGTATAAAAAAAATTATAAAATTTTGACCGATTAAATTTAAATACATATTGATATATAAATAAATCAATTGCCAAAATAAATAATAAAATAACATCGATCAACATATTCAACATTCCACCCTCCAAAGAAATTCGGCTTATGATTTCCTTGGGTAAGTTGAGTGGTGACGTTATTACATTCATGATCATCTGGCAATACGCCACCCATGTTCATGGTGCAGTCTTCTTTTCAAACCGAACGATGGCTTGGTAAAATAAAGACAACCCTTAGCTAATTTCCAAACCGGGTCGCTTGTGGCATCGAACATCTAGATTCCTTTCGAGCAAGGTTTATTTTATCGTGCTTCAGCTAGCAATTCAATTTTTGAGTCGTTGCATTGATTTTGGCGCACGGAATTCTCCTTGAAGGTATGATCAGGCTCGTGTTCTGACCATTTTGGGTTGTAGGAGTAAGTTGATTCGAGGTCTTTTTTTGTTGTCGAGATTATCTTCTCGAGATCATTCTCTACATTACCCACTAAGAACGTTTTTAAAATGTTGTTGAAGGTGTGGGGCCACATACGTCCTAGCAGAGGGGTCTTATCACAATCCACTACAATGGCCTACAGTGTATGTGAGTTTCCTTCATACTTAACGTTCACATTGGCAAGACCTAATATCTTGATAGCGCTGCCGTAATGAGTCTCATGTCCGTCTTACGTATCGCGGGCCTACAGTCTTAGCTGTCAGCTTCGAAAATAGTGTACCTCGTACCGGTGTCAACTTGCATCAACGTGGGTATGTCGTTGATGCTCACCGTTACGTTGTATGCATCATATGTGGTATTCTTGACCCCCATATTGTACACTTCAAGATTCTGAAAATTATATTCTTTGAGATCTGTGTTTAAGTCGTCGCCATCATCGATTATTTCGATGTTCATAGCATGGTTCGTATTCAATTGGCAATCACGATATTTGTGATCAGAAGATCTATTGTAAGTTTTATTGTCATTTTTGCACTGGTTGCGCCTATACGAATATCTCGGAAAACCATTAATATTTTGAGGGTTGTGTCTGTGCTGACCCCGACGGGGATAGTTGGTTCGGTTATCACCTCTATAGCAGTCATCCCGTCGATCAGGACTTTGATGATGGTCACAATGATAGCCATGGACGTTGTACCCGCTATTGTTGTATCGATCGTCGTAGTAGTTATCGTTGCGATTATCGAAACGGTTACGGTTATAGTGACAATTATCGTAGCTTTGATCAAAACGATTGTCGTGTTATTCGTTGTGCCATCCGTTGAATCGTTTGTCGCGGTCGTTGTCGTAGCGTATATCGTAACGTTCTTCAAAATGTTGTCAGGGGCGATTGTCATTGATGAACTGGGGTTGCATGATGAGAGATTCACCATATGCATGAGAGTCCTGAAAGGGTTTTGCGGTCACGTAGCTATTTTTGACTTTGCCCATGTGATTACCCTTTTGTACACCAGGTGATTCATTCAAATGAAACAATTTCATCTCGCCCTTGATGCCCCTTGGCCCCGCGGTGTCTTCCTCTAGATCTAGATTGTAAATGTCTTCTATGGTCATAGAGCTCCAGATCGCTTTCCTGACATCTTTGGAATTCGAAGATACTCTCACTTTCTCAATATTTCACTGAATGCCATTGAATTTACATTCTTTATTGAGTCGTGCTACGGGTGTGACCCAAGCCGAGAACGTCTCCTCCTTGCCTTGAGTGGCAGCATAAAATAATGACAGTTTGGCATTCTCAGTTTTCGATGGATGTTGTAGCTTGAATTGGCCAAGCTGGGTCCTGGAAGTCTGCCTCAGTGCAAATTGCCCCAATGTTATTGAATTCGTCATCTGGAAGACTTCGGAGAAACAAATCGGCCTTTTCTCCGTTGGAGATCTTGCTGATGTCGAAGAATTTCTGCAATTTCCCTATGTAGGCGCTGTCATCGCTACTAAATTTGGGGACATCCAGCTTGACAAATTTAGTCATATATGTGGAATTGTTCAAAGCATCCATCATAAGAGAATTATAATCGATAAAGGCATAAAATAGAATAAATGTACATTGCAAAATCAAGATCAAATTTTGAGATAATACTTACGCGTTCAGACGTATATTGGCCTCCATGTTGGAATTATATTAAAATCCACATTTATTATTTGATAGATAATTATATCACATTTTTTATTGATTATCATTTTATTTTATATCATAATTTAAATTTTATCATATGATAAATTAGATTTTTATTTTTCCAAGATCAATTACATTTTTTTTATCTCTTTATATATCTTTTTTTTTAAACAATAATAAAAAAAATAACTAATACAAATTCATATATAAAAAAATAAATCAATTACCAAAATTAATAATAAAATAACATCGATCAACATATTCAACAATTTATTACTTATTTATAAAATTGTTAATATAGTGATGAATAATTATAAAATTAAATTGTAATTTCAGTACGTGAAATCAACATATCTAAATAAAAATCGTCCTTTTCTGGGTGAAATGGGAGGGTTGGCTATTCTTAACTACTTCCAGATTTAACATATGAATAATAAAAAAATAAAAAATATAGTAGTAAATAAGGATTAAGATAAAAAAAAATGTAATATCTTTAAGGGATTTTAGTATTAACATTAGCTAATAAATAATACTATTTATTGTGATATTAACATGTTATATGATTATTTTTATTTTCTCTTGCATATATTTTTTTTAACCTAATTTATAAGAATTTCATCTTGTTAATTTTTAGGAAACAGAACATTCCTTGAAATAGGTATAAATTAGTACGACTACCATATTTAAATAACTTATACATGTTCATATTCCGCTATATAAAATAAGAAGCATACCCAATAGTAAAACCCTGAGTATCTCCTAGGCCTTGTCCTCTTCG